AGAGAGAGAGAGAGAGAGAATGAAAGAAAGGAAGGAAGGAAGGAAGGAAGGAAGGAAAGAAGGAAGGAAAGAAGGAAGGAAGGAAGAAAGAAAGAAAGAAAAAGAAAACTCTACCCATCTCGATAACTTACAGACATTTTTTGGAATGATTAGCAGGTAAAGACTTAATCCAGGCCCATTAAGAGAGAGCACAGAAACTATTGGGCACATAAACAGAGACTGAATATTGGGATGTTCTCACACTCACCAGACCAATTTGGCATTATCAGTACTTGTTCTCAGTGCCTGCCTAACCATGGAGCATCATAACATACATTCTACCATGTTTAGGTATTAGAGTTCATTATGGAATAAGTTTTATTTTCTGCCTTATAACTATTGTTATCTCACTCATTTTTATATCTTTGTTTTCCTTAGAAATTATCTTACACAAAGGAAACCATCAGCAGGTGAGGGTCTTCCTCCACCACCCCATACCCAAATTCATGTTTGACAATGTAGATGTGTAATTCCTACTTTAAGACCCACTTCAAATTTAATGGTTCCTTTTCTGTTTTACCAGTTCCTGCAAGGACCAGGCCTGTGGGTAAGTCTCAAATTGTTCTTCTTCATCGGAGTCTACCTCCCTTTCCAGAACACCACCATAGCCATTAATTTATTGACTGACCTGATCAAGGGGCAGACTTGTTTCTGTCTCTAGAAAATAGATTTATGGTTTGAACTATTGAGATTGTTGTTGAGGTTTAAGGCTAACAGTGAAATTGTTCTGAATGGGAAAAAGTCTTCAGCCTAGAAATATTAAAATGAAATATTGTCCATTGTCTAATACTCTTTTTCCAGCTGAATTCTTTTTTCTAATTTTTTATTTGTTTTAATTAGTTATATATGACAGTAGAACGTATTTATACACTTTAATATATCATACATAGATGGGATGTAATTTCTCATTTTTCTGAGTACACATGTTGCAGAATTATATTGGTCATATAGTCACATATCTACATACAGTAATAATATCTGTTTCATTCTACTATCTTTCCTATCCTCACATCCCTTGCCCTCCCCTTCCATTACTTCCCTCTACCTAATTTAAGGTAATACTATTCTTCCTTAGTGACCCTGCCTTATTGTGAATTAGCATCTGCATATTAGAGAAAACATTCAGCATTTGGTTTTGTGGGATTGGCTTATTTCACTTAGCATGATATTCTCCAACTCCAACCATTTAATGCCAAATGCCATAATTTCACTATTCTTTAAAGCTGTGTAGTATTTCAGTGAGTATGTATATCACATTTTCTTTACACATTCATCTATTGAGGGACACCTAGGTTGGTCCCTTCGTAGCTATTGTGAATTGAGCTGCTATAAACATCAATGTGGCTACATTACTGTAGTATGCTGATTTTAAGTCCTTTGGGTATAAACCAAGGAGTGGGATAGCTGAGTCAAATGGTGGTTCCATTCTAAGTTTTCTGAGGAATCTCCATATGGCTTTCCATTGTGGTTTGCACCAATTTGCAGTCCCATTAGCAATGTATGAGTGTATCTTTTTCACCACATCCTTGCCAATATTTATTGTTGCCTGTATTCTTGATGATTGCTATTCTGACAGGAATGAGATGAAATCTTAGAGTAGTTTTGATTTGCATTTTTCTAATTGCTAGAGATGTTGAACACTTTTCCATGTATTTGTTGATCAGTTGTATTTCTTCTACTGTGAAGTGTTTGTTCAATTCCTTAGCCCATTTATTTGATTTATTGATTGGGTTATTATTATTATTTTTTTTGCTGTTAAGTTTTTTTTATATATATCCTAGAGATTAATACTTTATCAGAGGTGCATGTGGTAAAGATTTCTCCCAATCTGTAGGCTCTCTCCTCACATTATTCTTGTTTCCTTTGCCAAGTAGAACCTTTTTAATTTGAATTCATCCCATTTATTGATTCTTGATTTTACTTCTTACTCATTAGGAGTCTTGTGAAGGAAGTCAGATCCTAGGCCGATGTGGTGAAGATTTGGGCCTGTTTTCTCTTCTATTAGGCACAGGGTCTCTCTTTGTTTTAGTGCCTAAGTTTTTGATCTACTTTGAGTTGATTTTTGTGCAGGGTGAGAGATAGAGGTTTAATTTCATTTTTATACGTATGGATTTCCAGTTTTGCCAGCACCATTTGTTGAATAGGCTATCTTTTCTCCAGTGAATGTTTTTGGCACCCCTGTCTAGTATGAGATAACTGTATTTGTTGGATTTGTCTCTGTGTCTTCTATTCTGTACCAATGGTCTATAAGCCTATTTTGGTGCCGATATCATGCTGTTTTTGTTACTATAGCTCTGTAATATAGTTTAAGTCTGGTATTGTGATGCCTTCTGCTTCACTTTTCTTGCTAAGGATTGCTTTAGCTATTCTGAGTCTTTTACATTTCCAGATGAATTTCATGATTACTTTTTCTAGTTTTTGAAGAATGTTATTGGGGTTTGAATAGGAATTGCATTAAATCTGTATAACACTTTTGTGGTATGGCCATTTTGACAACATTAATCTGCCTATCCAGGAGTATGGGTGATCTTTCCATTTTCTGATTCTTCAATTTCTTTCTTTAGTGTTTTGTAGTTTTCATTGTAGAGGTCTTTCACCTCTTTTGTTAGATTGATTCCCAGGTATTTTGTTTTTTTGAGGCTATTATGAATGGAGTAGTTTTCCTAATTTCTTTTTTAGTGGATTCATCACTAATACATAGGAATGCATTTGATTTATGGGTGTTGATTTTATATCCTGCTACTTTGTTGAATTCATTTATCCGTTCTAGAAGTTTTTAGTGGAATTTTTTTTATCTTCAAAGTATAGAATCATGTCATCATCAAATAGTGATAGTTTGAGTTCTTCTTTACCTATTTGTATCTATTTATTTTCTTTCTTTTGTCTAATTGCTCTGGCTAGAGTTTTAAGGATGATGTTGAATAAAAGTGGCAAAAGAGGATATCCTTGTTTTGTTCCAATTTTTAGTGGGAATGCTTTCAATTTTTCTTCATTTAGAATGATGCTGGCCTTGGATTTAGCATATATAGCTTTTACAATGTTGAGATATGTTCCTACTATCCCTGGTTTTTCTAGTGTTTTGAACATGAAGGGGTGCTGTATTTTGTCAAATGCTTTTTCCGTATATATTGAGATGATCATATGGTTCTTGTTTTTAAGTCTATTAATATGATGAATTATGTTTATTGATTTCTATATGTTGAACCAACCCTGCATCCCTGGGATGAATCCCACTTGATCATGGTGCACTATCTTTTTAATATTCACTCAGTGGTAGAAATCCCCTGGTAGGTGAGGATGGGTAGAAGAATGGATACGAGGTTTTACCTTCAAGTAGTTTAAATGTAATTTTAATAATTATATAACTAGAGGCTTTTCAACTTAATTAAAAAATAAAAATAGCCAACACTACTATAGAAATTGTAGGCCAGCCACTGTTATAAAACTCTGAAACTACCTGAATTCAGGTAGTTTCAGAGTTTTATACCCAGCATGTAAGGGGAGGGGCTCAGAAGTTCACAGTCTGCAGAAGTTCACATAAAAGCAACTTTCTCTTTCATTGCTTTGGGCAAGTTAACCCTTAAAGGACAGTACCTTAGAAGGGGAGAGCTTCTTCTCCATTTTCTTTCCTCCCACTGTCAGCTGTTACCATGGAGCCCGATTGGTAACTACTCTTACCTTAAAAATGTGAACAACTCTGTGAAGCTCAGCTTAAGGCCAGAGGCCTTGTTTGCACATTTCTACAAAGTACTATACTGGATTTGTTTATGAAAAACTAGTAAGGGGGTGTTCAGCACCTGGAGTGCTGGTATCCTCCCAGCCAGTGGCCAAGTAAAACAGGGCAACACGAAAATAGGAAGTTTATCTACATTGAACTCTTTTGCAGAGACTCTTTTGCTGACAGTCCCCAAATCAGCCATGGTGAAGATTTCTGGAGAAGCCCTGTTAAGACTTTTCTGTGGAAAAAAGGGGTGCCACTTCACCCTCTCTCCCCAGCCTCCAGCTTCAGCCTCATTTTGCCCCACTTTCATTTAGCTTTTTTAATATGCAGGCCAAACAAAGAAGTCTCATTGCTGACAGATTACATAAGTGGGCACATGCTCACAAGTAAATATTTATGACCTTGAGTACATACACTGAATTAGTGTGTTCATGACCTTGGCTACATACTAAAAACATAGCCTACCAGAAAACCTTAAAAAGGAAGCCTAAATACAGCCATTTGAGGCCTGCCCTACAGTTTGCCTACCTTAAAAAGGGTAAAAAATGATAGCACAGTGTACACATGCCACATAATGAAGAAATGCATAAATACCAAAATACATATAACCTTAAACAAGTCCTAAAGTTGGCTTGTGAAAGTAGGTCTTGGAAAGGATATTATTCATGAGGTCTTAGAAAATAAGGTATATATAAAATAATAATACATATGAACTAGAATATATATGGATTTTGAGAATTTGCAAGTTTGTTTCCTTCCCATGAAACTAATGCAGATTACTTTGGGGGTAGGATAGAGACTGGTAACTTTGGAAGTTGCTGAGAGAAAGTAACCCAGGTTTTAGGTCATCCTAGGAGTTATATGGGAGTGGCCTAAGAATGCACAAAGCCCATGTTTTTCCAACTTATTATAGTTATCCATTGCAACCCTTACTTTGCCTGCTGATTTTCTATATTCAGACTAATTTTTTAATTTCTTTGAGATTACACTTGTATTTTTTGCCTTAAGAGATTCTTGTTAGTTTTCTGCTGTTGTTATAACAAATTTATACAAAACTTAGCTTTGTTAAACAGCACAAATTTATTATTTTATAGTTATGTAGTTCAGAAGTTTGACATGGGTCTCAAGGTGCTGGTAGGGCTGCATTTCTTTCTGGAGACTGGAGAGACTTTATTTTCTTCTTTCTGAGCTTTTATTTATTTATTTTTTTTAATTTTATTTTTTTTATTGGTTGTTCACAACAGAGCTTTTAGTTAATACCCTAATTTCTTGGCTCATGGACTCTTCCATCTTCAAAGCCAACAATGGCTGGTTAACTCTCTCTCACATTGTATCATTCTGACTTTCTTCTGACTCCATCCTCCACATTTAAAGGTCTTTGGGATTACGTTGGGCTCACTGGATAATGCAGGATACTCTGTCTATTTTAAGGTCAGCTGATTAACAACCTTACTTTTAACATGACCTCAATTCCTCTTTGCTGAACACCCTAATATATTCACAGGCTCTGGGGATTAGGAGCTGAACATCATTGTTCTGCTTTCCACAGTGATTCTTTTTTTTTTTTTCCCTACATGCTACAATTTTATTGTTGCCTTCAAAGATACTTTGCTTCTAGATCAAAGACAAATGCTGCTGTGTTTGTGGTCATCTTGTGGTCCATTAAATGTCTTGAGTATTTTTCCTGTTTTGCTAATCCATACCTCTTTATTAAATTGGGACACAATATCTGCACATACTTATAGGATACAGTATGAGAATTCAGTACATGTACATGATGTGTAATAATCAAATCAGGGTAACAAGCATTTACCTCTCCTCAAACA